TACATGTTAATAGAGTTCAAATGCTAGAAAGTAGAGAGCTTGATTTAAAATGTTTAACTAACCAACCTAATAGATCTTGAAGCATCAATGATGGATTTCAATTTGTAGTATTCAAAAAATGAATAGACCATCATTTGAGTCATTAAATTTCCTTAATCTAAGATCGTCTATAGAATGTTCACCTTTAATATACTCAAAGAATCATGTCAACTCATTCAACTGTTATGAATTAATGTTTTATAGTGATAAAGTAATTTACTACAAACACTCAATCGTAACCGATTATAAATTCATCATAGATGTATACTAAAGAACTATATTTTTAAATGGTTAAGATCATCAGTCATTTGAAAGTAGACCACCATGGAAAACCCGAAAGCACTGAACGGTCGTTTTGTCCTATTGTTGGACTCCTCAGCTGTGCGCATGCACGACCTCGCCCTCTACGAGATTCGAACCCAGAATCTACTGGTTTCGCTCGCGAGCACTTAACAACTAGACCACTGAGCCAGCCGGCCGGCCGGCCGGCATCCAACGGTGTTAATGTCTAACTTCAACTAATCCACGAAATTGAACGACACATCCACCACTGTCTTCAGTGAGTTACTATGTCGCAACAGTCCTGGTTGAACTCCACTGATCACTACTTCTCACTAGAATTACTTACTATAATATCTACAAAACCCATCTGATATTAAATATTTTTTTATTAAACGGAATACACCCATTAATCTTTCTTATTTAAAGAAATATTAACAATTACATTAAATTACACTGAGAAATGGATATATATATGAGAAGAATGGAAAACGATTGGATCGAACTAGAAAAGAAGATGCAGGACAGAGTGGGTTAGAGAATGCTGTACGGCAGCCTATACTCCATTGGGAGTAACAGTCTTAAGTAAGTAAATACATTAAATTATCAAAAACAGTTTCTGTGGATATTATAATAATTTTAATAGTTGAGATCATGAATCAATTGGAGCTAGATCACTATGGTAAACCTGGAAGCACTGGATGACCTTTTCGTCCTAGTATGTGACTTCTCAACAGTGACCGTCCACGACATTCAAATCCAGAACCTACCGATCCTGAGTTATTAAAATCTCTACAAAACCCGCTTCTCATAATACATATCACATCATATTGTATATAATGAATGTTAAGTTAGTATATTGTCAATGTTATTAATCATATGCTACTTACAATTTGTTGTAATGATCGCCAACGACACGAGAAGAGATATAACGAAATAGAACTTCATGTTATGCAACATAATAATACAAAGTGTAATCAACAATACATATGCTTATATACTATGATTTATTATTCTATTTATATCCAAATTTGGATTAATGGTCGTGTCCACATAGAATCCTTCCCCCCCCCATCTCCCGTTCACATAACTTACACAGAAATGCTTCTAAAAATGTTATACATTCTTTAATATAAATTTTGTTACCTTAATGACAGATATGTACTTTAACCATTTATCATTTTGTACATACCAAATATGTTATCTAGGCACATTTATACAATAAGTTGAATTCAACGCCTACTGTGATGAAAGAAATAGCGGAACATATAAGGTAAAAGTTTAATCTACAACAACAAAGTTATTCAAATGAGTTAACAATAAGAAAAACTTAATTAGTGATAACCTGATAAATATAGAATGGTGTTACCCGTCGTAACCTCATAACACGATTTAATTACTATCTTGTTACCAAATTAGTATTATGATAAAATACTATCATAATTTAACTCTGAATTATGAGAAAAATTGACGATGTTGTTGATAAGCGACAAATAAAAACAATTTGTTTAATAACATTTCATTTCAATTAAATCATTCACTGATATTGGATCCATTTCATAGATATATTGGATCTGATAAGAAATAGAAAGTGATCACATTGATAAAGTGTTCATTGATTTCATATATCATTGACGGGTTGAAATTGCCACCACCGCAACCACCGCAACCACCGCAACCACAGTCACCACCATATGAAAATCAAACATAATCAATAAGATCAAGTCATGTGTGTGAAATAGATGATCGGTGAACCTGAGAATGATGAAGAAGAAGTTGGAGATATGAACATGACACTAAAAGACAAAACCAATAATAACAACAACAACAACAACAACGAGTAAACACTGTTAAATGGTATTAATCACTGTTACTCCTCGTGGAGGAGCATGGGCCGCCCACCACCACTCCCCATCCAACCATGTCTTGGACAATCCTTTCCAGTTATTTTTCATTCTTTTCATATTTGCTTCTATTTCCCGACGTAATGTGTTCTTTGGCTTTCCTTTTCTTCGTTTCCCTTCAGGATTTGCCTCGTGATGCAGCTTTGTGGTTTCCATAATGTATGTCCTATCCACTTCCATAATCTTTTTCTACTTTCCTCTTCAGTGGGAAATTTGTTTGTCCTCTCGTACAGAAGGCTTTTGCTGATGGTATCCGGCCAATGGATGTTGAGTATCTTGCGTAGAGAACTATTCATAAATAACTATACCTTCTTGGTGATGGTTGTGGTAGTTCTCCAAGTTTCAGCTCCATACAGTAGAACTGTGTTGACGTTGGTATTGAAGATTCTGTCTGTGATATTGGTTGAAAGTTGCTATGAGTTCCATATGTTTTTCAATTTTAGGAATGCGGCCCATGCTTTGCACATCCTCGTCTTGACATCGGCATCCGATCCTCCTTGTTCATCGATGATGCATCCCACGTAGGTGTAGGATTCTACATCTTCCAGAGTTTCGCCATCAAGAGTGATTGTATTGGTGTTCTTCGTGTTGTAATTTAGGACCTTGTTTTTCTTCTTGTGTATGTTGGGGCCTACTGATGAAGGGACTGCTGCTACACTGGATGCCTTTATCTACATTTGTTGGTGTTTATGGGATTGTAAGGCCAGGTCATCTGCGGATTTCAAACCGTCTAATTGGTTCTGAGCTGTCCATTGTATTTCGTGTTTTCCCTCAGACGTTGAGGTCTTCATAATCCACTCGATCACTGAAATAATGAGGAAGCGGTAAAGTAGACAGTCTTTTCTGACTCCGATGCTTGGTTGGAATGTATCTGTCAGCTGTGCTCCATACTGGACTTTGTAGTGTAGTCCGTTGTATGAATTACGTATGATGTTGACGATTTTCTCCGGTACTCCATAGTATCGAAGAAGTTTGATTGTTATATGGTGATGATAGAATGCAAGTTATCATGTGGTGCTTTATCGTTGAGAGTTCAGTTCAAATTGTTGAATTGTTTGGACAGATAAAGTATGTGAATCATTAAATTGTAATGCTTCTGAGTTCAAATGCTGATCCGCGCCTTCACATCTGTATCAGATCCACCGTGTTCATCAATGATGCTGCCCAGATATGTAGATGTTTTTATATCTTCCAAGGCTTCTCCGTCAATTGTGATTTAATTGGTGCATATTGTGTTGTATCGGAGAATCCTGATTTTACTTTTTCTATGTTGAGACTTACTGCTGCTGAGGCTGCAGCTACACTGGTCGTCTTCTCCTACTTTTCTTGTTGAGTGTGCAATAGAAGAACCAGATCATCTGCGAATTCTAGATCGTTCAGATGCATCCTAGTGGTTCACTGTATCCCATGCTTCCCCTCAGATATTGATGTTTTGATAATACATTCAATCACCAGGAGAAAGAGAAAAGGTAAGAGTGAGCAACCTTGCCTGATACTGGTCTTGACTTCGAACGAGTCTGTCAGATGTCATTTTATTTCCACTACTACTACTACTAATAGTAATAGTAAGTAGTATAATAGTAATGTCAACAATATTAACTATAAACTACTTACATATATTGGTGAAGAAATCTGAATGCATGCTTTTATATCAGTCTTTCATAACTTTAATTCAATTAAAAAATGTAGAAGAGAAATAATCATCAATAAAGGAGTAGAATTAAGTAGTGTGTGTATGTATGTGTGTTTGAAAGAAATGATTTATGAGTAGTAAATTTAACTTATTTATATTCGGTTTCTTCTTTTTTTATTTGGACTGTCATTTTCACTAAGGTCAATAATCATATGATATCAACAGAGAGTAAGAGAAGAATGGATGGAAATTTTTCATAAACTAAAGTGAACAATCATTTACTTATGGGTGTAGATCA